TTTTATTTGATTTTATTACTAATTTTATCATGAAGGTCTTTGGTTTTTGTCTTTTTGCTTTTGTTCTTTATTTAAATTTTTAATTGAGAGAATTTTTGTTGTTTTCTTCTTCTTTTCATTTTTCTATTTTATTTGTTTCTTTCCTCAAAAGTTTTTGGAAATAGTTCTTCTCTTTCATTAAGATTGACGTGTGCTTACATTCAAATGTTTTTCGATTACTTTAGTTGTAGTTGGTATTGAAAAATTTTGCTTCAGATTTGAACGAATTAAGTGTTAAAGGAATCGATTAAGGGATTATTTTTGTTAGCATAACTATTTTTTGTTTTTAATTTAAACAATAAATATTTTTTAAATTAATAATAAAAATTAAAAAGAAAGTCTTTAATAAATATTTAATATTTACTTAGTTTTTGTTAGTACGCATTTTTTTTATTTTTTTTTATTATTATTATTATTTTGTTCTTCAAATAACAAATCTGTAAAATGTAGTGCGGGTTTTAACAATAAATTGCTTTACTTCATTTAAATAAATTAAAGGAATTTTTAGTTTTTAAAAAAGTTTTATTATTTCATTTTTGTTTTATATTTTTATTTTTTTTTAAATTAATTGTAGTGCTTGGGTTTCTTTTTTCGCAATTCTTTGATAATTTTTTCTTTCAAAGAGCTCAATTTCTCAAGATCAAGTTAATAAGTGCAAGAGAATTTCGTTTAAGATAAATTCTAACGTATAAGAATTTCTTTCTCTGATAAAATGCTCTTTTTTTTTTTTAATAATTTTAGAAGGCTTAGTAAAAATATGTATAAGCTTAAACTTAAAAAACTTGAAAAATGATAATGTTATTTGATTAAAAAAGAGTATACGTATCAAACTTAAAAGAGATTTGTGTAAAGAGAAAAAAAGAAACAGTTGTCAGAAAGAAAATAAGGGGAAATTGTAGTAGACTTAGAATAGAATTTGTTGGTAGCAATCACTTGAGTTTTAGATTGTGGTAAATCTTGAATACAATCTGTTGGTTGGTAACAACCGCTTCAATTGTATGAAAAGGCTAAGAAAGAAACCATTCTTTGCTATGGGGCGACTCTCGCATATTTAACACACGCCTCATAAATATTCATACAAAACGTACAAAATTATCATTGGCTAACGTTTGCATGATAAGCAATTAACATAACAGAACAATATTCTTTCGTGCATGGGCATGGCCGAATCACTCTCAGCTACCATCATGTCGACCTTTGTTTTCCTATTTTGCATGTCTTAACGGTTCACAAAGGACGGACAGACGGCAAGTGTAATTTTCAAGTCAAGTTGATAAAATAAGCGAATAATTCACTTGATGTGAGAGCAATCGGAAAAATCGACCCCGTCAATCGAATTTCATTAGATGTATATTTAGAGAGACGGGGATACTGCTATCAACCTTGACTAGGAATCCAAGGACTTCATGGATTCTCTAAACTTTAATAGGTTTTCCTGAAAGAGTTATATACTTAATAAGATGTAGAGGAGGAGCAAAAAGCTTTTTTAATAAATAACTGCATTGATTTTGAAGCGAATGTTCAATACACTTGACAGTGGATATCTAACTAAAAACAAACACCTTAGTCAGGTTTTTTTTTTTCATTTTTTACGTCAATCTGTACTTTAGTGCCAAGAAGAATATTTACGAATTTTGATGTTTTAGGATCGCTAGTCATTGTGGGCGCATATTACATAACGATCTGGAATTTGTGATATGTGGCATTGAACCGAAAGCAACTGTGTCAAGTTTCAGCCTTCTCTCATCTTGTAACCAGTTTTCGGTAAGGAGCTTAGCAGACTTGTAGTCCAAAGCAGACAGATGCCGATCAAGAATAAACACACAGTTCGTAGCTTCTCGAGCGTATTTCTCTTTTATTACAATCATAATAAAAAATCGCTTATGTGTTGCTCCTAAGTATCATTTTTTGCTCTGTCTTCTTTCTCTCCTTGCTCTCCACTCTTTTTTGCTTTGTCGATTTAAGTGATATGCCGCATTGCTCAGTTCCATTAAGTCCCTTTAAAATTTCACTTTAATTTGTCGAAGACAAAGTTCGAACAGCACTGATGTTGATAACTTACTTTCAAACCAAGTTCATCTTAGTACTTCCTGCCCCGCGAAAATATAGAAAATAGGGAGCTTCTCTAGAAACTGGTACTCTCACGATTTCTTGTCAAATTGAAATTCAGTTTTTAGATTCGATCCGCCTATTCTTGGGCGTAATCTGAAGTTAACTCTTCCTCAAGTTTGCGATCGCTGCCTCGTGTATATGTATTTTAAAATGATTGTTTTGCTCCAGATCTTCTCCCCATCTTCGTGCTTCTAAGCTAGCGGCCTAAGCTCCTCACCAGATTGCATATTCAATGAAGAGCTTGTATCGCTGATATTGGGCTTACTTTTAAGAGTTTGTTGACCATTGATGAGTTAATACGTCTTCTTATGTCCAAACATTGTTAACCAAAACTCTTAGTTCCTTTCCTCTAAGCAGTACACATTAGTTGTTGAAGCTTTATGCTTAGCAGATTTTACGAAATATGCTGCAATTTCCTTCTATTATGATCTACACGAGGACGTCGATGCTTTTGTTTTGACTTTATGGAAATTTACTGCAATTTTGTTACTATTATCAAGAACTTACCTCTTGTGAATCTGAAATTAAGGCAAATTTTAGGGTGGCATATGTCAAAGCTTGGCCATCAATCATCTCGAGCGAATATATAAAAATTGTACGATATGTTAATTGGTGAGCATTTCAACATTGAACTTTTAGACCATTGGGGTAAATATTTTCTATTTCCAATTTTTACATTTGTGTTCAGATTTCTGCAACCATTAACCAATTAAATAGATAGATAGATTAATAGCAAGTATTTGAATATGCTTCAATCGGCATTAAATCATATACTGACCAGAATTTTCTTTGATTAGAAACATGGCATTACAAAAGCAACGTTGCAGCTAGAGGGTACTTTTTTTAATGTAACGGTATCCAGGACGCATATGCAAAGAAAGAAGGATAAGTTTTTCACTTTTCATTCTTTCCTAAGTAAATTGATACCACTTTCTCTCCATTCTCTTCTAACTCTTTAGAAAAAACATTTTTCGTAAAGGATTAAAAATTTATTAATTTCTTTAAAGCTAATACGCAAGCTCTTCTATTTAATGAAATACGTACATATATATGTACTTTGTCGTGTTATTACTAAACAACGTAAGAAGCTTATATTCATCTTGAGACGAATCTTGGATACCCACCACCAAGCATAAATATATCAATGCACGTCATGGCGAGCGTACGTGTGTGCTTTCTATCGTAAGTTTCAATTTTCTATTTTAACCAAGGAGAATTTTAAGAAGAACAGATCTGACTTTGATGGTTTTCGTCTTTAGTAAGAGTCGCATTTGTTAATCTAAGCGGTTAAGATCAGTTTCTCGACTCAATCCTTAACAATTTTAACGGACAGCCGAACGTAAGCGACTTTTGAAGGTCGAGAGCAACTAAGAGACTAAGATCAGTTTCTTAACTCAATCCGTAACAATGTCATCGAATAGAAGAACGTATGTGACCTTTGAGGAGAGGCTAAGATCAATTTCTCAACTTAATCTCAACAATTTTGAAGCGCAGTCACAGTCTGCGCACTTTGAAAGGTTGAGATCAGCTAACATACTATCAGATCAGTTTCTCAACTCAATGCTTAACAATTTTAACGGACAGACGAACGTATACGATCTTTACTTTTCCATTTCTTGTGGGCGTATTGTAGCGTTAAGTTAATGCACTTAGGACAAGTTCCAATTTTGTATCTCAATCTACGCGAGATCTTGACACTATAAAGCGAGGAAAGAAGTGAAAGGACTCGAGAATATTTGCGAATTCTTCGAGCCTGACAATTAAATATCGAAAAGGGAGTCCAAGCTCACTATATATGTATGCACTCTTTGATGGCGGATATAAAATTTATACGTATTAAAGCTTTTTTCCTTAAACTATGACAGAGGTTTTTCTATACTAAAAAAAAAAAAAAAAAAAAAAAAAAATTAGTAAAATAAAAAGCTAAATAACGAAAAAACAGAATGGTCATCAATTAAAAATATCCATTGTATATATAAGCTGCTAAATTGAATTCGTGAATTCGTGTTTTTGTATTATGATTGTGATTGTGATTTTTCATCAAAATTCATTTTTTCCCATGGACTGTTCAATTTTCAGTTTATTTAATATATTCTTTTTATTTTATTATTATTACTTTTGTTTTTTTATAGTTTAAACTTGTTTTTACTTTTAAATACTTTTAAATTTATATTTTAGTTTTACTGCGCTCTTCATTTTTTCAGCTCCCTCTCTTTTCCGTCTTCCGCCCAACCGCCAATGAGTCTCAATTAATAAGTGTATCTGAAAGGATTTCTATTGTTTTTTTCTTTTGTTTTTTTTTTTTTTTTTTTGTTTTTTTGTTGTTGTGTGTGTTTTGCGTGGGTTTTATGTTTTTTATTCAACTGGTGTAATATCCTTACGAATCTTGTGACCCCGGAATGAGGCCTGAATCTTGGTGGCTGCCTTATTTAATTCGGGATCACTTAAATCAATATCCAATTCCTCGGCCACCTTCTTAGTGATCTCTTGTATATCAACATCTTCTGGTATAGCATCGTCATCGTCTTTAACCAATTTGCGAGTTAAATGACCACGAAAAGTAGCTTGGATTTTTCTAGCAGCATCGCAAAGCTCTATGGGGAGAACAGAATCGAAAAATTGTTCGAAAAAATTAATAACTTTTTTTTTTTATTTTCACTGAATTATTTGGTAAGGTTTTTATAAATCTTTAATGTTTGATTTGAGAAATAACCCTCATATCGTTCAACCCACATACCTGCACACATATCGTCAATTTTTAAGGAGCGTGGGAAGAGGAAGTTCAATAAACCTACTTTCTAATAAATTGATTCTCTTCGTGGCTTTTGCGGCATAGATTATTATCTCTTTTAAAAAAGATGCCGAGAGCTTCTGAATCGACCAGGCCCAGATCTAACTCTATCCAATTGCAAGGAAAATGCAAGATAATAATACCGCTGGCATGAACAGGGCAAACAAAGGCCAACTTCTTAACTATATCTTGTGTAAGACTTCGTCTTTCTGGCTTAACAAAATTTGGCCCCGTTCATACCGAACGATTGGAGGATAGTTTAATGCTAATCAAGAATATATATTATTACGGTTATCCCACATCTAGTATCATTCCAATTAGCTGATTTTCACAGAAAATAAATTTCCGAGAGAAGGAAAAACCAAACGCAAATTCGTGGCGCGTAATGCATCTGCCCGCCGACGAAGAAGATTAGCGGAAAACAGATCAATTATGATAAGTTGCTTATATAAGCAGTCTATTTGAACAGAATGAGTTAGTCGGAAAATAACATTTGAGTCGAAAAGAAAGTCCAAGTTGAGAATGCTGCCAAACTAAGTAAACTGTAAATTACCCCATCCTTAAAGAAATTCATTGCAAATAAAACCACATGGCCTAGTGATACGAGCCATATCAAGAAAAGCATTTCGTAGCAACATATACCTTGTGAAGTGCCTGAAACTTCCTTCTAACGAAGGCGCGAGTCCTTCTGTTTCTTGAAGTTGCTTTTTCCGTTGACGGACAGAATAGAAGAGAAGAAAAAACGAAATTTCTTGCATGAGATCGACGCATAGGCATCGATAATAGTATCGTTATGTTTAACTTAAGGCGAATTTTTTATCTACGGTTTGTTTGTCCTGCGAAGGACCTAAAAATCAAGCTATGCTAATTTTGTCTTTCCATTATCATAAACATAGAAGACCATTAACGGGCTTAACTGCATTTGTCCACTTCTTCTTCTAAATGATTTCTTTCGCTCTAGTGAGATTATCACATTTTAAGCATGACATACACGAGGACATCACTTCGTAATTTTGACGCGAACATAAATGTCATCACTAACACTGGTGGTGCTGCTCAGGCATTCGCGAGGTGTAGCTAAGATACGCAGAATAACTTAAGGTAAAGTATTTGAAAAGTTTCCGAACTTTCGACGAAAAATAGAAGGCTTTTTGAAAGTTAAATGGGAACGTAACTTCTTGACTACTGCGACTCGATGAGATGGTAAAAATTTTAATGCTGAAAGATTGTTGCAGCTCAAAGGAATATCTTCTCAAAGACTGAGCTATGGAGGTTGCCAAAAATTTATATGCATTCGAATACTCACTCACTTACACAGGAGAAATTTTATAAGGAATAGGGTCCAAAAAGTAGACATACCGTTGGTCCACTTAATTTTTATGTTAAATTTTCATCAGAAAACTGAGACTAAGACTAATTGGATCAATTTGGCATATAAGAGTTCACATTTCTTAACAATCCTTTTATGCGGTGGTATCCAAAAAATAGATCTCACTAACCCAAATTCGGTAAGGTTGGCTTCTTTCTCCATTTACTATTACGAACCAATTGTTCACATGAAATATTGAAAATTAGATCTTTTTACCATATACAAATTCGGCTTTCGTCGGAACAGTTATGTGAGAAGGGGTTCAAAAAACTCTGCCAGCTAAACCAAATTTTCCATAGCAATTTAGAATGTCAACGTATTTTTGCGCAACTAGTTTAACGACTTTTCAAAATAAGGCGTTATACGAGGAGTGAGCTCGGCCTTGGGCCAAAACGCGTCACTGTACCAAATTTTATCAAAATATCTCAAAAATTGCGATCTGTAGATGGAATACAAAAATACCTGAACAGGCATCAGACGGACAAGATAGATAGACAAGCTTAGATCATTTCAGAAAATAATTGGAGATGAAGGGAAGTCTTAATTACCCATCAAGTGGAATACAACGGCCATGCTGTTATAGCAACGCAGATATTTTTTGTAAGGAGCATGTCCGTTGGCTAATTGCGAATGCTAGCGCGTATAACTTTTTTATATATACTTCTATATATATATATATGTTTTTTGCTTAGTATATAACAAATTTCTGTGGTAAGTAATGGAAATTTCCTTTTTGTTTTCAGCCTTTTTTTTCCCTTCCTTCTTCTTCTTCTTCTTCTCCTTTTCAATTGCTTAACTATCGCTGACATATTTCATGTCTGATTACGTCTGTTTTCAAGTTTAATTTCTAGATGAAAATTTAAGTTATATGTGATATGTCAAAGCGTAGCTGTGTATCAGAGTCCACACTGCACAATTTTGCATAGACATCTCTTAGAAAAGTGCATATTTTCTAAAGCGGATTGGGTTATGAGCGTTACTTATGCTTTGACGACGTTAGTATAACACGGTCGTCGTTAGAATAATAAAAATCTTGCTCAGGCATTGTTTTACATTTATGCAAAACAAGTATAATTTTACTTCCGCATGCGTTTAGCATGCGCTGAGTTTACATGAATATGGATGCAAACATGCGTACATAAAAGTAAGCTATAACTCTGCAAATAAACATTAAGTGAATCCACTGCCAGCTTATCACACACTTGACACAATGACACTCTTATGGAAATTGAATGCCTTCGCTTGCAGGCATGCATGATGCATGCATGTGTATTTACACCAAAACATTTATCATTCTTTTCATCTCTTTCTCTATGTGTACACAAATGTTAAAATGTGAAATTGTATGCGCTTTAAATAAAAAAGTTGATATAACGAGAGACAAGAAAAAAAAAAAAACGAAAACAGCAGAAGCAAGAACAAAACACATGTTTGCTCAACCTGCCTGCCCTACACTAAAATATTTAAATGCATATGAAAAAATGCGTAAAAATATGTGAAAAGTGAAATACAACCCAAAAATTCTCTCACACACTCACACACACACAGAGACACACACACAGACACACAAGCATATAACACGTATATGCACAAACATGCATGCATTCCATAGTTTTTCGTTTATATTTTTTTTTTTTTTGTTCTCACTGTCATGTAGGTCAAGAACATTATAAGCCAACGTTTGTCACCAGGGTTGTGCTTTACGTTATGATAGGCCGAATGACATAGGTACGTTTGCAAGTGCTTGCGAAGCAACCTTCCATTCATATATAGCTCGTTACTTTTTAAGTTTTTTTTCCTCTATTTGGCGTACGAAAAGTTGACACTTTTCCCAAAAAGATGAAAACACCAACGTGATCAGTTTTGTCAGTTCATTCATACGTACTTACGTAGCTCTTACGTAGTCCAACGTACATGTATACCTTAGGTAAACGTATGTTCTAGTTTTTCACATTTTTTCTTTTTTTGACATTTTCTTTACGTATGAATTGCTTTTTATTTTCATCTTTAGATAAATATTTAAGCCAAACCAACATATTTCAAAATTATACCTTTCAGAACCTTAAGTTTCTTTCTACTGCAATAAATACCAAAATTATTTCAATGAATACAAAGCAAAAGAGACAGAGAGAGAGAAAGAGACAGACAGAGAGAGAGAGAGAGAGAGAGAGAGAGAGAGAGGAGAAGACAATTTTCACACATTAAAATATTCAAATAGAATAACAATGAATAATTAGTCGCATAGCATGCGAATGAAAAGACAAAGCAAATGCCGGTGAGAGCAAGTTGCGTACACATGTTATTAAGCAAATTATTTTACAAATTAAAGTTTTTTCTTTTTTTTTTTGAAAAAATTGCATAAAAACTAAGTAATAGCTTCGAGCTTTATATAAAATAAAATGATCGCCAAACTTTTGTCTCCGAGTGAGCCGTATATTCTGCATCAAAACATTTAGATTTATAGCTCCTAAAGGAAGGCAACGAATTAAAACAATTAAAATTTTGCTTAACATTTAATAAGAGATTATGAACAGTCTTGTTCGCTCTTTTCGCCAGCTGGAGCCCGTAATTTTAGTCGGAGGCCACCGGAGGCCAATACTGAATGTATCTTCAGATAAGCGCAATGCAGCTCACGTTACGCCTATGCTCAAGCCCCACTAGCACTCGAGCCTTTGAGTGCTTGTGGCTGTAAAGCTTGTCCTATTTACCCGGCAACATTCTGACATTTTCATGAAGTTCGGACTTAGCGTCTCATTCATCCTGCATCGTCTGTCCTGTTATTCGTTGCTGCATGATCTCACACTGAAGGGAAACGAATGACACAAGGCTACTGTCTGCGAACCAATGCACAGGATTCTCCACTATGCACAGGAAGTCGTTAACGAACGCAAGGAAAAAGGAAGTGGAAAGAATAGAGTTCTAAGGGGTCTCTGCGTTTAAATAGAATTTATTTGAAGAATATCCGTCGATTGCAGCTTTTATCGCTCGGTTGTTCATGCACTTCGATGTGAATTGAGTGAAAGTGCTATTGACACCAAATGCAATCAGTTTGGAGACAAAATATTCTCATCAAATTTTCTCATATTTTAATGTACGCTGATGACGTCAAACTGCCCGCGTCCTTCAATTCGGAATATCAGGCACGTCTCCTCCAAGCTGATTCAAATAATTTAGTGACGCAGTGCTCATTCATTTTCAAGATTTTAAATCAAAAGCAATGTAAGAAGCCGTCGTTTTGAAGGAGAAGCTCGTTCCTAACGGAATATTTTGATTTGATTCACTCAGGTTGGAGAATGTAGACTCAATTCTTAATCTATATGTCCCACCTTCGATCATATATTCCGGTTCAATTCACATATTAAACATCCGGTGAATAAGGCTAGATCTGTGTTTGGCATTATTAAGTACTGGCCATGGGAATGTGATTGCCTATA